CTACTAAGTTATTTTTCTTAGTATAGATTTTTCTTTATTTATTTATTTAGTTATTTGCTATTTATTATTTTCATTATGCATAAATTCGTTATGCATAATTTGTTATGCGATCATTATACATAAATCATTATGTATAAAATCGTTTTGCATAACAGGGCTAGTAAACAGTTTAAAGATTTATTTAGAATAGTAGATATTCATAAAAGAATTATAAAAGAAATGTAAATTGGTTTCTTGAAGAGACATGATCCACTATCATATCCTAAAAACTATCTAAATAAAAGCCTCTTCGTCTTGAATCTCTTCTAACAAAAACCTAACCCAACCCATAACCGAATATTTCAGTTACAATATATATATACTGTATATACAATATATATCATTTTTATTAAAATATAAGTTCTCTACTTTAGACAATAAGCCTACAAATCTAACCATATATCTTGCACAAAATAATAAACTACAGTGGCTATCATGAAAAGCTATCAACTTTTAACTATAAAATTTTTAAAGTTTTATAATTTTTTTAAAATAAAATAAACTAAAAAAAATTTCTTATATATTTTTGGTTAAGCTATCAAATTTATAAAAAAAAGTTTTAGTATCTTTTATTTTAAAATATTTATATCAATTTAAAGTTATATATAATTAAAAATTTGGCATTTATATATAACAAAATTTAAATTTAGTAACAAAATTTTAAAATTTATTAATAAATTTTAAATTTATATTAACTTTTTCTACATTTTTATTAGTTAATCATGTTATACTGCAGCTAAAAAATTGGCATCTATATATAAAATTTGTAGGCTTTAGATGGTATCCACTATAGTATCCACTATAGTATATTTACAGATTTTACACAAAGACAAATTCTTGTATACTGACAAAGTTTGCTAGCATTAGTTATAATGCTGGCTAACTTTGTCAGTATTATGAAATAGTTTTTATAATTTTGGGATAGAATTATATCTGCATACCTTATACAAGATAAACTATTCAACTAAAAAGTTTTGATGAAATTAATAAAAAAACAAACCTATAAACTTTAAATTCAGCAATTTTAATACTACTTTAAAATTATTTATCTAGTTGTTTTATGTCTAAATAGAACCCCAAACAATATATATAAAGATTATATGGAAATTTTGGTTAAAAAGATTACTTTTTTTCAAAAATGTTATATTTAAAAACTGGTTATTGGCTTCAAATGTTATATTTAAAACTAGATAATAACCTTTAAAGTTATATTAATAAAAGTAGATAAATTTAATAAATTTGTATAAGGTTACAGTTAAAAATTGGGTAATATAATATATAAAAAAAAATTTTTTAAAAAAATTATTACACATACATCTTTCAATTACAAAAATAGTTAAATATACAAAAGAATGTTTGTTAAAAAACAAAATGGTAGTTTATGTATCTAACTGTAGCTTACGTGCTATATATAAATGTGGAAAAGTTATTAAACTTAAGTAACCCTATGATGAATCTTATTTCGAAAGCCATATTAATAACAATGGCTGTAATTTTCCAAATGGAGTTATTTTAATTTTAAATTTTTTTTCAACTGTACCAAAAGAAGATAATCAACCTGCTATAAAGCAGTTTTTTTTGTATTGGAATAAATAATTCAGTACATAAAGCTTATATTAGTCATGTTATTACTCATACTACTTATAGTGGGGCATCTAGAAAAGATATTGTTGCTAGAGATCTTTTTCTGACAAAATTTATTTCTGATAAGCCTGTAGTATACAAAAAACTTTCTGAAGAGGAGTTGCAATTGTTAGATAAAGAGTTAATTTACCAATTAAAATAGAAAATTGAAGGTTTAACAATACGGTTAGTTTTATGTAAACAATATACTACATGTTTATCTTATTTATACAATCATTGTAAAGAACTTCAAAATGATCAAATTTTTAAGGTAAATATAAGTAAGGTATTTTTTATAATTTTAATAAATTTTATAATTTAATTATATATTTAATAAAAGAATGCTATATCGAAACAAGAAAAACCAAAAAATAAAAAAAAATTTATACCTAAAATTCAACTTTGAAGTAATCCAATTGCAAAATTCATTTATAATCAAGAAATTAGGGATTTATTAGATATAGTAAATCGCACAAATATGAACAATAAAAACTATTTTTGGGTTAAATTTGCAGAATTAGATTAAAAAGGTAGTTTTCATAACAAAAAGATCTTTGAAGGACTTTGTCAAATAATGGTTCAAATTGCCAATCGTGAACAGTATGATAAAGGGCTTCAAAACTTTAAATACTCAGATCAGTTTTCTGATTTTTTAGTAATTCTTGCAAGTCTTAGCCCATGGGCATATAATATCTTTAGACAAAACTTTGCAGGTCATGCTATTCAAAATATAAGGTTTTTATATATTTATTTTATTTTTTAAAATTATATTGCACGTATTTATACTTACTATTTTATAAATTTTGTTTTTTAAAGATTACATTGTACACATTTATCATTTGCTCTTCATAGTCCTGATCTTTGCTTTGAGAATATAGACAAGTCAAAAGGCTTGTTGATACACTTGATTATACTAGTCCAATTATCACAATGTCAGACAATACTAAACTTAAAGAGAGACTTGGATATTTATCTCTTTATAGTTGTGTTGTTGGTTTGACGCTTTCAATAGAAAAAACTAAGGTTTTTTCATATGAAGATATATATCAAATTGTTGATACTATTAAATCATACAATGCTATTGTTTCTCAAGTTCATGTTTACTTGTTACAGGTAAAAAAAAAGTTTTTATTAAAAAACAATTTTTTTTATTAAAAAAAAAAAACTTATATAAAATACTTATTTTTGTATATAGATTCCTATTCCAAAATTTTCTCTATGCATTATTGCAGCAATTGCAAATAAAGAAAAAGAAACTGCAGCTGATATTTTTGAACTATATAAAAAATTACTTGATATAGTGGCACATCTTAAGCTTCCAATTCTTGGATTTGGTGCCGATGGTGCTTCTGCAGAATTTAATGCGCAAAACTGTCTTATGCAATTAGAAACATATGAAAAATTAGTTTTTAAAGATGAGCTTTATGGTATATAATGATAAATTATAATTGTTTTAATAATAATTATACTAAGTTTTTATTTGTTATCTCGGTTAGATATCAATTTTAGTTGCCCAATTTATTCTGGTGTTGGCCCTATCGTTCGAATTACTGATCCTCTTCATGGAAAGAAAGATTGTCATAATACACTTTTTTCTGGTGCATATCTATTATCTCTTAAAAAATATTTCACACGATATGATCAAATTCTTGAACTAAAAAAAAACCTCCAAAGTGTTCTTTACAAAAGAGATGTTGAAAATGTTGACTGTCAGGATAATAGAGCTGCTTATAGATTGTTTTGTTCCTCATTTCTTAACCAAGTTATTGACAAAAATGAAATTACTACAGAAAAATATGTGCTGTTTGTTTTTTTGTTTATTCTTAGTAAACTAATTAATATCTAAAATTTAATTTAATTTTATTGACTAAAATAATTTATTTATTTTTATTTTTTTCTTTAATAGGTGAATTAATTGATGCTTTTCAAAATCGCCATATTTCTCCTCTCGAAAGATGTAAAATGGTTATGTTAGAGTTTTTTTTCTTAAATCATTGGAGAAATTATATTCGAATATGTGCGCAAGATTATCCAGAGTTTATTAATATTAAAAAAAATTTTATATCATTAGTAACATTTAATATTTTAATGAGTCTTCTCAAAACCATGGTATACAAGTCTATTTTTTTTATATAAATTATTTTATATTTATCTAATTATCATATAACTTTTTTTGTAGATTCTTTTAATAATCACTTATTGAGATTTTTATCCCCAATATCCTTTTACACCATGGATATATGGTTCAGAGAGATGTAAACATTTCTTTGGATTAGCTCGTCAAATTCTTCCAGATTTTTCATTTAATGATTTAATCGCATTGGTACCAAAGATTGCTTGTTTGTATAAGGCCTATTCTTTAGGTTTTCTTAGATCTGACAGAGAAAAAACATCGGGTGTTGGTTAGTATATAATTTACTATAAAAGTATAAAATTAAAGAAACTTATATGTTTCTTTTGTAGAATATAATTCACATTATTTAGATTCAAAAATAATGAAAAACTTAAAAGTTTTGCGAGATTGGCCATCAAATATCGATATTAAGAGAACAATTAATTAAGCATATGAACAAGCAACTGCACTTGCAAAAGATGTTCTTGGAATGGTATTAAATAATGAAGTTCGTAGTTTTATAACAATTTCAGAAGAAAATGAGACTAAAATAGAAAATAAAAATACAAATAAACCTGTTGGTTCACAGGAATCTGATAGCTTACAAATTGATAATTTTTTTATATCAGCAGCAGCCATGGAAGTTAATACGTCAAGTAGGCTAAATATGTTGACTGAAGTAAGAATAGTACTTGTTTTAATGACTGCTTTATTTTTATAATTTTATTTATAATAAATTAAATCAAATGTTTTATAAGAGAGTATTTTATTTAGCTATCTAGTATCTTATTTTTATATATATATATATCTATATATTTTTAGATCGAAGATGATTTTGCTGATGGTTATTCACAATTAGCTTTTATATACAACTCTAGCCAACAATCTTGAAATTGTAACATTAAAGAAGATGCTGATATTGGAATTATAAATGGAGAACTTAAACTTTCTATATTAATCAATCAATGTCGTAAGCATGAAGCTTATACAAATCAAAGAATGTAAAAAAAAATTGCGGAGTTTTTTTCATCTGGCTCTAATAATAGATTCAATGCCAGCTTTGTGTCATTTCTCTCATCAGATAAACATGCTTGCCCAGATAGTGTTCAAAGATAAGCTGGCTTATCATGGCTTGCTGCAGCTTACTGCGGCTTATCACGTGATAACTTCGAATTTATCACCAAGCCATGTAATAATCTCGAAATTATCGCGCGATATAGTCGAGATTATCACATGGCTTGGTGATAAATTCGAAGTTATCACGTAATAAGCCGCAGCAAGCCGTGATAAGCCGGCTTATCTTTGAACACTACGCCCAGGTATTCCATGTCAAAATCGATGGAAAATAAGAACGAGACTTGAAAGATTGAATGATCTGATAAAAGATCCAATAAGTAAGTTAATTTTATTTATAAGTAATTCAAATTAACGAAGTAGACAAGTAGAATTTTAAAATGGAATCTTATAAGGTTAGAAAATTAAATAGAAATTAAATTAAAATATCAGTAGATATTTAGTTTTAATAACTATTATAGCAAAATAGAAAATGCTAATAGAACAAATCATCTCTGATATTGATATCAGAATGAATTGGAATAAAAAAGGATAAACATAAATATTTTTTATTATCAAAAATTTACTGAGATGGAGAGTGCTAGTGAAACATATAATAATGGGTATTATTATGTTCATGGAATTAAAATAGAAAAGGACAAGTATAAGTATTCATTTATTATCAAAATCAGCAATAATAGATAATGCTAATGAAATGTATATATTGGGTATTGTTATCTTATAAAATTGGTGGCAAAAAGAATGTAAGGTGTAAGACATGCTCTATTATTTATTTTGAATTTTTTTTCTCATTTTTATATTTTGACAAGATTAGCAGATATTTCAACTGCAAATATAAGTCAAGTGCATCCGATTATTCAAGAAGGATTTGGAATTAGACAGGTTAACAATAATATATATATTTTTCAAGTTCTTGCTCTTTATTATAAAAATTCAAATTACCATTCCTTTATTGAATCACATTCAAATGTTGATGAGCTTTCTTACATTTCGGCAAAAGTTTTTTTCAACTTTGATATGGTTTATTTTCATCAATCTCAGATAGTGGATATTCAATTTTTACTTATATATTACTTTCTTCTATTATTTACTATTTTGGAAAAGGTAATTTTGTTTCTTTTAATAAAAAAATAGAGTTATTAACCATTAACAATTCAACACTTGAATTGTTTAACTATTTTAATATATCTGAAATGAAACAGAATTTTATGATTAAAGCATATATAATGCTATACACTAAATATTTGTAATAAATAATAAATACTAGCTAATTAATAATATAATAAATTGTATAATTTGTTTTAATTTCTAAAAAATTATTTTATTAAAATTTTATTTTTAAGAAAGGTTATATTTATAATTTGGATAAAAACATTTAATTAATCTAGCTTATATATAAATTTTGGTTAATTAATCTTAATATAAAGTGGATAAAATTTGTAAAAATTTTATATTAAAGCTAATATAACCTTTATATATATTGTTTGGGGTCCTGTCTGAATATACACTAACAAATGCAGATATGTATGATAGCTAGCAAACTTTATATTAATATATGAAATTAAACTATAGTTATATAGATATATATACTGTAGCATACTAAGCAAAAAACCTGAAGTCTAATACAAAATATCCACCAAAAAATTTACAAAAAATCTAGGTATATTATTTAGCAGCAGGTCTGTATTGCAAAAAAAAAAAATTTAAATATATACATATTTCACATTTACAATAAACAGTCTAGAAATTTAAAAAACTCTTATATTTAATTAATAGAAATATTGTAAAGAAAGTGTCAAATATCAGCTAATATCATAGAGTAGGAGGGAAGTAGACAAAATCTTAGGTCTAAATATATACATATAACCAATCAGAATAACAATTTCTCAAGAGGGGGGAGGAGGTGAGCTTTATAGTAAACTGATTTTAGCTAATATCTAACATGTCTCTAATTTGTGCCAGGGTATTTTGCATAGGAGTATTCAAGAAGGGAGTCTTTTGCTCAGTATGCTACAGTATCTAAAAGCCATGATAGTCTATTTAATTGCTTTACCAATGCTAAAAATTCTTTTTTTAGTTTTTTAATTTTAATAATTTACTATATATTAGTAAGTGATAAAATTGAACTGCATTCTAAGTTTTTTGAGGCTAATAGTAGAATAAGTTGAATTTATAAATCTATTTAGATTTTATATAATGTATTTACATACCTAGTGTTTTTTTTAAAGTTTCTTTAGCTAACGCCAATTCCAACTCCTTTACTAATTCTTTTTTGTTTATATTAATATCTTTTAAAATACTATGAGTTTCAAGTTGTTCTTTTATATTTCTTTTTTTAATCTTTTTACACAGATATCTATAAAGCATTTTAGAATTAATTATCTTTTATCAACTACTATAAAGTAAAACAAAATTTACAGAACTTGTATTATTAGATAATAAAATCATCCAAGAATTTTTAAGTATTGAAGATACAGATATATCTGGATTTGGTTTTCGATTAGTTTCAATTGTAATTTTTCTAAATCTCTTGGATAAAAAGTTGTCTAAATACTAATATTTGCAATATCTCTTGCCCAAATATAACTAGCATACTTTTTCGTAATTGGCTATGACTATTCGAACCAGTTTGAAATACCAGATAATTTATTTTTTGCCTTTTTATCGAGGTCTATATAATAAATGAATTTTATTTCAATATTGTATAATTATTTAAAAAATCAAAGCAGTATTTTCAATATAATTTACATATTCTTTTTTCTTTCTGGCTCTAGGTGAGCTACTGAAGTCCTGCAAATTTCAGAAATTGTATTTTCAATATCTTTTCCTGATAATATATCAAATCCTAATTTTATATATCGATTAATAGCATGTGTAATCTATTAAAGTAAGTTAATATAATATAGTTTTATGAATATAGTAAAACTTATAAGTGCATGATATTAAAATTAAGAATTAGAATCGGTTTAGTTAACTACTATGTTTAGTCGACTAATTAGTCAACTAAACATAGTAGTCAACTAAATCAATTTCAATTTCTACTTAAAATCAAAACTTTAACAACATACACTTAAGAAAAAACATATTTATAGAGATCATATATATATTTAAGTTAGTTTGTATATGTACTTATAAAGGGTATATTTACGATTTAAAACTAATCTGCACATGATGATTATTAATAGTTGTCTTTGCCTCTCCCAGTTTAAGAAATATCTATTTTTTGGGCCAGATATTATACCAGTCTAGCCAATGATCTAAAATCATTATCAAATCTGTGTTATGATAATGTTCTCTATTATTTGAAATAATAGTGAACTATTTTGGTTTTTTTTCCATAGATTTAATAATAGCATAGAGGCTTGACACTATAAACCAGATATCTTGACATGGATTGTTTGACTAATGATTATATACTTGAATATCAAGCTCAAGAGAATTAATTTTGTAAGTATATACCAATACTAAATGGAGAGTTTATTCTTTTTTACCAAAGAATTTTTCTTTTGTTTCTTTTGCACTTTTGGATAATATTTTTTCATTTTATAATCTACAATTATAAGTATATCTTTCTCATCTAACTCTAATAAATTGGCATTTACTTGTGTATTTAAATATGCTTTCTGGGTTTGATAAGCAAGATAATACAAAAGAAGATTACAGTATTTTTCTATTTCATTATGTAAAATAATTAGCATATTTTTTTTCAGTTGATAAAAAACTTTAAACAATCAACTATATTCATTACATTTATGATTATGTATTTCTTTACAGATGCTAAAAGTATACAAGAGGCAGTAACTAATACAATCACTATGGATTAGAGTTCTGTGAATTGTAATTTTAAATTTTTGTTCATATATTCCTTTGAAATAACACTGTAAATATTCAAATTTGTTGATATAATTCTTCTTTTATATTTATAAATTATATTTAGATCAAGAAAAAAAAAAAGATATATTGGGGTTGGGATCCTGCGGCCTAGTGGTCTAGATACCCAACCCTCCACGAGCGGGTTTCAGGTTCAAGTCCTAGTAGGTACGTTATCTACGAATATTTGGAAGTATCTGCTATGGGAAGTCTAATTGAATATAGGTCTAGATTAGGAATTTCCAGAAAGAGGTCTATTGTGGAGTAGTTGGCACTATGTGTAATAGTGGTTGTTACAGAAGGTTCTATTACACAAAGGTTGTGCGTATAAATCCGCGATTGGCAAGGTAGCACCAACAACCCCTAAGGTGGCATTGGGGATCTTGTTTGGGAGGATAACCGGGC